AACTCCTGAAAGAAGAAGTTAGAGGGGAATTAGTTTTTGGGTGGGGTGAGACTTATATGCATCTCTTCTTTTTAGAAACTGAGAAGGAAAAGCATGATGTATTCATACTTACCCTCTTACAGCTTCTTCCTCAAGAATATCCAAACTGCATCCCACTTCTACCTCTAAAGTTAGCTAAATCAAAAATTGTTACTACTTCCCAGGTTTATGAAGGATCCTAGAGAAACTCCTCAGGAGTCTAAAATTCCATGGTTCACTGGTTCCAGAAAATGGCAGGATAATTCATTTTCCACAACATAAAAAACACAGGCAGTTGTTGGAGATGTAATACCCATCTAGACTTTAGGAAAGAGGCAATAACTGAATTCAGACATCGTGTGAAACAAAAAAATGGCTTGTCTAGTTTGGTCTTAGCTCACTGTGAAAATCTAGTAACTGTAGTGTATAAAGCATGGCTAAAATCTCAGCATGTTGTACAAACCCAGTCAATTATGTCTTATTCAACAAGCCATGGTTAAGAAATCTTGACTTAGCATTTGGTTATGACAAAAACCTAGCCATTGTGGTTTGCAAACTTTTGCTGATGACTTGGCCTGATGGGTGGATGCAACTAATGCTTTATTCAATAAACTACAGTTAAACAAACCATGATTTACCATAATGGGCGAACTAATTCAGTATGTGATTTGTGATAAGATGGGAGCAACTGGAAGCCATAGACTAATCCCATTTTCTACCTGGTAGTAGTGACACAAGCAACTAAAATTCCTATCACTTTTCTTCTCCTCCATTAGTGGAAGATCTCAAAGCATGTGGCAGAAAAAAAACCCTTTGTCCTACTTGCTACTCTTATCTCATTTGTATCTGCAGATGCAATACTGTATAATATTTTTTTCTAAATTTGGGGAGTTTCTGAAATGGAATCCCAGTGTGCATAAGCCTTTCCCAAACTGACAAATACGGTGGACAACAACTCAAATCACCCAAATCAATCAAGGACCCTGCTGGATGAGGATGAAGAAAGCTATGAATCAAGTTATCTGGATGACACAAAACTGGGGAATGCTAATACACCTAATACAAAACATGCAAAAATCCAGGATAGGATGTTGGCTCACACACTGCAACAATCACAGATAGGGTGTTGACAAGGCGGAACCCAGAATAAACAAGCTTGGCAGGCTACAGACAACTATTTTTGTAGTACTAATCACTACATCTCCTCCATTACCAACTTTTGCTCCCTGTTGGAATATAAAATTCAAAAGCTATACCTGAGTCCATGTCTCTGTTAGTAGTAATTAGAAGACCATCAGTTGGGAGTTGGGGATAGAAGGGAGAGTTCAATACTTTCTTCAGTCACATTTATTAAAACTCCTATAGTTTTTTATCCTCCTTCTACCATCCTTATTGATGCCGCTGCCAAAGGCATAGACAAGGACTTCTTTTCTAAAGAAAGTCCTTTCCTAGTTCCAATCTGTTTCTTCTAAATTGTATACTGCCCAACTTTACATCCATATCGTATTTCAAACATCACACTAAGTCTAAATATGATTTGTTTTATTTTGGCTCAGTGTGTTATACAAACCCAGCCATTGTGATTCATTCATTAAATTACAGTTAAACAAACTATGGTTTACCATGTTGTGTGACTGTACTACACACATAAATACTCCAATATACAAACACTCTAGTCTGGAAGCAGCTTTCATGAAATGGAAGGGAGATCAAGAGAAATAGCAAATGCCTACTATTTTGTGACAAACATTGGAAATTATTTTATTTAGCAGGACATTTTATCATTTATTTTAAGTTTAAATCTTCTTTTCCCAAGGGTTAATCTGATGTCAGTTCCTTTATATAAGAAATACTATATATTTAAGTTTGTTTTTAATTACTATTTTGTTTTGTTCTAGAGTTTGACAATTGTTTTAAAAACTGAAATATACAATATTCCAGTGAAATAATAAAATATTCGACATTCCTCCTCTTTCTCATTCTTGAACTCAACTCCAGATTTTGCAGGAAGGAGAAAAGATGTCAGCATCTCACCCCTCCAGACCTGCTTTCAGAAAGAGACAGAATAATGCTCTTCTACAGAAGGAGCCATGCAGTGCTTGAGCAAGTTCAATATTTCTCAGATACTATCTCCATATTACTATCTTATTTTTCCTATAGAAATGAGTATCAGTTACTAATGCTGAGGGCTACATTTACCTCTGTTGGTCTGACTCTTCGAACTTGTGTCAGATAGACTCTATTTAAATTGTTCTAAGAATATAATGAAAATCATTCAGATATGAAACAGCAATTCTACATTCCACACCTTTATTTGCATAGCCATCTTCTGTCACTTTTCTAGCCTTTTTGGAGTCCTATTGCAACTAGTTTTAATGGAGAATCACTCTGTGAAGGGATCTGGGGACAAGCTAAAGGATCAGTTTACTCTGTCTCAAAGGCCAAGTGATATTGTTGCAAAAATTAGTCAATCGCACTTTTTATGTCTTCTTTTTTTTTTTTTACCCTTTGACTAGAAATGGCAAGAAGCCTACATTTCTGGTGGACTGTACCTGGCATGCACGTTTAGTCTCTCTGTTAAATATGATGGAATGTTGGGAAGGTATGTAAGAAAAGAACACTGAGACACTGAAGTAACATTGGGGGAAAAAAAGGATGAAGAAGAGAATGCTGGGAACTGAGCATTTTATACATTTAAACTCTGTGAAACCCATGTGCCCACAAGATCTAACATGGCCACTGACTATTGCATTTTATTGTCTGAACAGCACTATAATCCTTGATTCATTTATTCTTCTTGAATCATAGCAGAAATTTAATTCCTGACATCTTTATGTGGAACAGAAAAAATTATCCCATGCTAAAAATTATCCTATCCAAATTCCTATGACTTTTTCATTATTATTTTCATTTTACATTTAGAAAGAAAATTCTAAATATATAACTTGTGACTGAGCTGAGATTACAACTTGTGTAAATCCCAGCACTCCATTCACAGGATCGACCTGGTTGTGATTACTTCCCATCTCTCAAATTTTATTGCATCACTCTCACCAAAACACAAAAATAATTTTGCAATTGTCCATGAGAAACAATACACACAAATAACTTGAGTCTTCTAAAGATGTTTAGGCTCCATTAATAAATACAATGAAAGAAATATAATAGATTTTCCATCCATCTGCCTATACTTCTATCTCAGTCAGTTTCCTCAGCATCTGTTTTATTAACTTCAAAGATATGCTCAGTAATCTCTTTTTCTAAGGTGATGAGCTAACTCAAGTATGTGCATTTTTTTTTAAACGTGCAAAACCTTTTTTATTATAAGGAACTAGCAATAAAACCCAATTGCTACTATACCTGCATTTACGCCATTTGATTTCAAGAGATATGTTCTAGTGTCACCTTTCTATAAACAAGATTTAAATGTCTTCCCTCAAATTGACAACAAAACTACACATAGTCCTTTTATTAAAACCACAAAATAAGCTGTGGCCAACACAAGAATATTTTCTCCATAAACATGAAACACTGCTATCTCAGAATACAGTATCTCCCTAAAATTAGTGCCCCATATTTCAACCTGCACTAAAGAACACCGAAAATAACTTTTGCTTCTCAGAGAATAAAAACAATATTTTACACCTAATTATTAGTAGACACTAAGGGTTTTTTTTAATCAGAATAAAATAGGTTTAGAGCATATGCAAACCTGAAGATCCCCAAAAGTAACATAATTACATATTACAGCCGCATACGGTTTCTTATCAACATACAAAATAGTTATATAGATTAAAGAAAATAAAATATTTACATACCGACTTGGAGTGATGGATGTAGAGGCAGAGAATCTGGCATTTTCTTCCATATCGGAGGAAACAAGAAGCCTGAAAAGACCCCCTCCCACAATTAGCAATGCTCATCTCTCTCTACCCACAAAAAATATTAATTATCTTCTTGGATCTCAAGTTCTCAGGTCACCTGCTTCTGGATTATATGCATATTAATAACATGGACACTTGTTGACGGCCCTGTAGAACAATTAGGGGGGCCCATTTGGCTATTCATTTCTCACCACGTGTCTCTTCTAAAGATTAAGTTAGGCTGATTCCTGATCCATACTGTTTGACAAGACCACAACTGCTTGTGCAATTAGCTAGAAATAGTGCTAGGGATTCTTATTCTCCATAACATATCTTTGGGAGTCATACTAACTACTGACTGCCCATGAAGGTCCTGGGCCTACAAGCCCCTTTTACCTCAAGAAGGGGAAATGGGGGCAGCCTCTAAAACTCTGAGGTACAGGAAATAAATAAAAGCCGATGCTACCTGTCCTGTCTTCCCCCCATTGCACCATCTCCACCCTTCCCATGGTAAAGAAAGAACTGTTTTGAAGTAGTAGTTTTTAACAGGTTTCAAAGGTAAAGCAAGGAGAGAAGGAAATAAAGAAAGTAACTGATGCTCAGGTTAGTGAGAGGCTCAGAATCTCTTCATAGGGAGCATGTAGGAAGAAACAGATACATAAGATGATGTACACACTGAAGAGTGATAATGCAAGCAGGAGGACATGTGGACAAAAGAAAAAAGCATCTCCCAGTAAAGCACTACACCTCCCAGGATCAGAAAAGGAGTGCATTCAGCAATAGAGCCAACAGTGTCAGTTTAATAAACCTGGTTGAAAGAAATAAAGACCCCTGGCAGAAACAAGTAGATGGGGGAAGAGGAGGCACACAGAAGTGATACAGATGTGATACATGGACGATATGGACATGCAGTGGCTGAATAGGAATGCTCAGGGTGGAGGATGTGCTGGTGGGGCTTCATGCAGAGGCAGGATCAAGCATGCAGGACAGTGCATGCTATTGCCCTTTCTCAAGTGTAAGTAATTACTGCGGCCTAAGTATTGGTACTGGACAGCTTCCCCCCCCCCCCAAATAGAAAGGATATGGCCATTCGGTGATCTTTTTGGCGTATTTCCTCACCACGTTGTCTTCGCTGAAGAGGAAGAGGGAGCGGTTGACAGTCAGACAGTTCTGCCGAACAGGAATGGGGTTGTAGAGTGCCATGGTACGGGCTCGCTGGGCCATCGACTGTTTATATATCCTCTGGGCCCCTGGGGGACCACCTTGCCGAACGCCCCCAGCACCCCGGCCACCTCCGCCGCCTGCTGTTCCAGAGCCAGCTCCCCCTGAACCTCCTGCCCCATAGCGGGCTGGCACCTCATCTCCAAACCGAGCCATCCTGCAAAGAGCAAAGGGCCGGGGGTTATGCTGCTGAGGATGTTGCTGGAGAGAAGAAGCTCATCACATCCCATCGGCTGCTGTCGATGCTGCTGGGGAGCTTGCAGCAGAGGGAGGGGGCACTCAGGCAGGAGCACAGCCAAGGAAAGCGGCAGAGGTCCTGGACATGGTCACTCACACCTCCCAACGTAGGATGGAAATGATGTACAAATTCTCCCCACCTCTCCCTAAATGACTGCAACTGGGGAGGGGGGACACACCCCAAGAAGAAGAAAAAAAAAAACAACTCCAAATAGTAGGTTGCAGTTAACAGGGAAAAATGCAGCAAACTGCTCCTAAAACAAATTGCAATGAAAAAGATTCAATGCACCCTCAGTTAAAAATATTTCAATGAAAAAAAGACATTGCTTTTGGGAGGAGGAAAAGAGGGGGGATGACAAATTAAATGTAGTGACAGCAGTACCTCCTCCCTACCAAGGAAAGAAAAATACAATTAAAGAAAATGAATGCACCAATTCCTCACTCCTACTTCTGTTTTCAAAGCCCAAGAGGAAACAAATTGAAATAAAAATAAAAAATAAAAAGACACCATCAAAATTAGCCTCACACAGACTAGGTACTTTAGCTCAATTTAGTGAGAAAAATGCAGGCTTCCTTTATGCTGAGCAGCTTGGCAAATATCTGCACTTACAAAAAAGAAAAAAAATGTAAAATATATCTTTCTATCAGATTTACAAAATCAGTACTGTACTTGCCTTTCCGTCTCACAAAACAATGCACTGGTGAAAAAAAACAACAATGATAATTGTACAAAAAAAGAAAGGCAAAAATAACTTACAAAGACACACACCAAAACAAAAATCAAAACAAAACAAAAAACCTAAAACCAAAATAAAAGCCCCCCCCCCTCCCAAGGCTTGTTTTCACTTTAGCTCCATCCTGCTATCTTCAGCACTGTCCAAGATCTGAAGGTGAAAGGGGTTTGGGCTCCCTTTAAGCTGCTGAAGCTGTAGGATATTCCTCCCCCCTTGCTATCCAGCGGTCTCTGCTTTCTCTTTTTTTCACCCGGTGTGACTGCGTGTATAATTTTCTCTGTGTCAGTTTTGCTTCATCTTGGAGCTGAATGCAGCAAAGAAATCCTGTAAAATCCAAAAATGAAAGAGACAAGAGAAGTAGTTTCCATCCACCATCTACTCATAAGGGTTCCCTGGTTGCTGCAATGTCTAGTATTTTTTCTGCCCTGTATTCTTCCTCCTTCTCCTCCTCCTCCTCCTCCTCCTCCTCCTCCTCGATAAGCTAAAATAAGACTGGTGTTACGGAGGGAGGCAGGCAGGCAGAGAGATAGAAAAAAAAAAGAGAGAAAAGGTCTGATTCACTGGCAGGTTCAGCTCTAATGTGCAGCAGTGCATCGATTTAATGCAAGCACAGAGCATCCCAAAGCCTCGGCCGGGCTTGGCACATGATGGCCTGGAACCAATAGCAGGGGCTACAGCCCAACCAAACCCAGCTGAGTTTATACAGGGAGAGGAGGACACACACATATGCACGCACACACACACACGCTTGATGGGGTAGGAAAATCCTGCACACAAATGATATCTCTCAGCAGTCTATAGCATAGAATATTAGACTGATGTCAGCTCTCTGCTATAAGCTCAGTCTTTCTATTAGAATGCAGAAACTTGAATATGTACCCCCTTTCCCTAAAGATAGGCTGGTTTTGTATTTAAAAAGGTCAAAATGGGATTGTCTTGCTTTATACCACATTTTTGGAGAGTATCTGTTGTGTGTGCACGTTTGTAAGGCAATTACAGTTAGCAGGAGGGGAGAGAGGAGAATGTGAAGAGTTCTGGAGTTCCAGGACAATATTGGAGAAGATGTGCTACTGGAGTAACAATCTGCAAGATGATATAATTTGTTAGGAGCCTAAATATCCTTACAAGACTCAATGTATGCATAAAAGTATGGGCACCTGCTAAGGTAAAGGCATGGGAATGCACACTGATTATGCGTGCAATAGATTTCATAAACTGTAGTGGGCAAAAAGCTGAGATGCCTAAGCAAACAACAGAAGTGACAATGAAGTTATTAAAATAGGTGTTCCAGTATCACCTTTTATACAAATATAAAAATGCCAATTAATTCCAGTTGCTAGAATCTGAGCCCAGTTCTGTGAGAGTAAATCATCATTATCACTATTATGGGCTCCATGTTTAGCATCCTGATATAAAATTAGGCTCATTTCAAGGCTTTACATTACTGCTAGTGGAACTGAAATGTCCCCCAAATGATCTTACAACATTAAACTACATATGTAGCAAATGAATTAATGTAGCAAATCAGAATTCATAAACAGGTTTCTTTGAAAGTTAGGGAATCTTCTGTATGTCACCACAAACTTTTATTTCACAGATATGTGATAATAAGGAAAAGGCCTGTGGAATTGAGCCACAACACTCAAATAGCTTGATGGTTGGCCTTAGTTGTTATGGGGAGTAATTTAATGGCTTCTGTTCAGGAGACAGTTCTCCTGTTACCTTGATCTTGTGGCTATTTTGTAAAGCAGTCTGCTGGATGCCTGCTTTCTCTACTCTCTTACTACTCTGTCACATCAACAGGTTCCATCATATGGTTTTGTCTTCAATAGCACATTTTTCTGGTAGCTGCATGGCACATTCCTATTCATCACAGCATGGCAAAGACACCACCCAGACATTTTTCCATTAGTAGTCCCACAATAAAAAGAAACAACATTTACAATGAGACAATTAAAAGATGGTCAAGGAAGGTTTCTGTAGAATCAAAATAAATGCTAAGCTTTCTTATTGCTGTATTGTATATAGTGATGAGGCAACCATCTGATTGCATAATGTTGAGCAAAGCTAGACGTATAGTGTTAAAGTGCTGTCTGTTGTGTGATGTGGACTGTGACAGAATAAATGGTATCAGATATTACAGCTGTAACTGTAAGTCTCAACCTCTCCTTCTTCTCTCTCTCTCTTTCCCTCCCCCCCTCCTTCTTCCCCTGAAAACATCAGCACCATGGATGGATCATATTGAGGAACCAACATACAAGTCAAGGTGTGTTTTCTTAAACAAACAGGAAAAAGCAGGTAATGTGAACAGGGGAAAGGAAGGAAAGAAGGAAAGGGAAACCTTCCAGATATTGCCACATGATTCACAATTTAGTGCAATGATTTTCAAGATGACAAAAATATCCTTATTTGCGTATACACATTTATATATCAACATGTGTACATGTGTGGTCTAGACAGACAGATAGGTAGACAGACAGACAGACAGACACAACCAATAAGGAATATGAAAGAAGAAAACAATGCATCTTATGCATCAGAAGTAAGCAGGCAGGTGCCTGTGGGCACTAGTTTGGCTGCAGACATGTTTTTTGAAGCCAAACTAGCTAAAGGAGCCTTACAGGCAGCCAGTATATTAGGAGGATTCCGAGCTGTATCTACAGCCCATCTTAACAAGCAGAATTTATACTGAAGCAGAATCCCTAATCACAGATAAAGGTGTCTTTAAAGATCAATTGCAGTTAACTTCCACAGCAATGCTTTGAAGCTGTTGAAGGACCCAAACCCAGAAACAGCAAATCTCAGAGACGGTGATAGCCAACCAGATTTTCACCAGGTCTGCATCTCATCCACTACCAAATCTTGGATGGGCAAGGCCTTATTATACCCAGACCTGGCTTTTACCATCAATTTCTTGAGGCCAGAGTCACCCTCCAAGCTTTCATGCTGGCAAAGCAAAATGCTAGATTTTAGCACTCTGCTTCTTTACAAGAATGCTCTGGGTATTATTTAGACCAAACATGCATTCTTAAAAATGGTGAGTGGCTAGAAGGCATATAACATCCCAAGGGGTAGGACAGAAAGGAGGGAGCAGCTTTACCAGTTTACTTTCAGTCAATGAGTGTTTTGTAATTGGCCATGCCCCCAATGGCAGTTCTTTGGTGAACAGAAAGTCTCTGATGTGATGCGTGCTCAAAATTCCAAATGTGTCCACTGGCGCAAAGGGTTGCCTTACCTGCACTGTGGACAGTATCTTACAGTAGCAGAGCCATAATGATTCTGGGGCACAGTTCATTGCCTCCTTGCTCTTACTTGAAAAATAAGATAAAGACAGCAAAAGAGAGGGGAAATAAAAGAAAGGGCAATAAAGTTATTCCTTATATATCACTATGAAATCTTAACACTTTACAAAAGGGTAGATTACCTTGTCAAAGTAGAATAGTTATATATTCCTTTTTTTTTTTTTACTTTTATAATTGCCCTAGTCTCTTTTGGGATGTACTCCAGAAGACTGAAATTTTGCTTCATCCTCAGTCATACCATTGTAATATTCAGTCATACAGATTCCATACTTTTCCTATGAACTTCACACAATCTCACACTTGTAACCAAAGCTTTTCCCTAAGTCAAATTAAAGCAATACCATATTCTGCTTTCACAGCTAGTTTATATAAAAGAATATGCCTAGTTGTTTCAATAATCTAATTGCACTGATCTGTATTACTGGAATTAAAACGGAGTTAAACCTCAGAAATGTAGCTTTCATTGCCACACCGCAGACCACTGCTTTACCACACTACAGTTCAGCTCCTTGTCTCCCAGGCATAAACCAGCTGGAAATGAAATGAACTTAAGAAACTGCTTTCCAGATGTCTTCCTTCATTTCAGCTATGGTGATGCACTAATGTACTGTTTGGATCATGTTTATCACATCCCTTGATTGGTGGATTCCCATTTTTTAACCTCCTGGAGGAGGGAGGGAAAGAGGAAGGAAGGAAGGAAATATAGTTGTATATTTTCCAGTCACTTGACTAGAAGGGGAAAGTGGCAAAACTCTTATCTGTTTGAGGGAGGAGAAGGAAAACAGTCAATTTTTTCACTGTTTAGTCACTGAACTTTTAAAAAAAAAAAGTTTTTCACCTTCTATTGGTAAATGTGTAAAAAAATGGCCATGGAGGGGGACAAC